GAGGTCAGCTGCAGCCATCCTTGTTGATTTTAGTCAAAAGGTGCTCAGGTGGCCTAGTGCTAAGAACTGACAACCTAAAGGCGGGGAGTTCAAAATCTACCAGTGGCTCTGAGTAAGAAAGATGGGCAAACTTCTCCGTGCAATTTATACTTTCTGAAAATCCGGCAGACGGTCAGCTATGAGTTTGTTTCAACTCAATAGCACTTAACAATGTAACAAGTACTTTATTAAAGATTTCCTCAAGGCTAAGAAGTTGGCAAAAATGAGCAATTTTGCTTTGCTCTTGCCTGGTCATCTTCAAAGTTGACTGTAAGCCAGCACACATCTTCTATTTACAATACAGTTGAAACCTAGAGTTGATTGACTCCAGTGACATTTTCTCCTTCCTCTTCTACTAACTACTATTCTCTGCCTTTGTAATGGAATGGCCCTTAACTAAGAACAGCTAGTTGTTAGCGAAGATAACTGGGGAGCAAGAGAGCCTGGGCTAGAATATTGATGTTAGTGTCTTAATATAACATATTACTTTTAATTGGACACCATTGTGTAGTAAAGAGAGATGGCGTATTCCTTCCATACATAGTCTTGGAAACTCATTGGGGCAGTTGATGAGTAAAGTTGAGCATAATGTTCTGTGGGGTCACTTTAAGTTGGAATCAGCTAGATGGCATTGAGTAGGTTAGTTGTTGTTGTTATGTGCCTTTGAGTCACCTGCGACTCATAGCGACCCTATATAAAACAGCCCTAAACCTTGCTCTATCCCTTGCCAATCTTACAGTCTCCAACACACCTATCCCTACTACCCCACTGACTGAATCAATCCATCTCTGGGGTCTTCTCCTGTGCTGTCCATCCACCCTCCCAAGCATGATGTCCCTCTCCAAAAACTGATGCGGCCTTGCAACATGTCCAAAGTTATGTCAGACGGAGCTTCAGAATTCTTGCCTGAAGAAGTAGCCTGGCTTCACCCTCTCCAGGACTAACTTGTTCTCCTAGCAGTCCATGGTATATTCCACACTTTTCTCCAACACCACAGCTCAAAGAAATTAACTCTCCTTCTATCATTCCTAGTCATTGTCCAGCTCTCTGATGCATAGCAAGTAATTGCAAAGATGATGGCCTGTATTAGGTGCACCTTAGTCTCTAGACTGACATCGTTGCTCTTCAGTACTTTGGAGAGGTCTCTGATAGCAGACTTTCCCAATGCAGTTAGTCTTTTAATTTCCTGGCTGCTGGTACCAACAGTGTTGATTGTAGAGCCAAGCAAACTGATGCTGTCAACAATTTCGATCTCTTCATCATCTATTGAGTTCGTTAGAGTTGTGGTTAAGTACCACTGAACTGATTGCAATTCAGGAAGCCCTCATGTGTGCAGAGTAGAACTGCCCCATAGGGTTTTCAAGGCTGACTGCCAGACATTTCCTAAGGCACCTTGGAGTTCACACTTTTTTGGCTGGTAGTTGAGTGTGTAACTGTCGTACCATTCAGGGACTCCTACAGCAATTTTTAATGAAGTAATAAAAAAATACTTAAATGATAAAACTATTTATACATTTTTAATAAACAAAGCTCTTTTTTCCGATCTTAAAATACTTTTCTATAGAATAACAATTTTCCCATTCTTTACTATTAAAGAAGGGACGAAACTAAGTGATCACTGGTATTTATATTGGGTTTTAAAAAAATACAGATTCTCTATAATCTGATGACATTTTTAATATTTTAGTAAACATATTTTTTTGTGTCTCACAAAAGAAGTTCTGTAGTTTTCTTTGTACAGGTCTTTTGTGTGTCTAGTTACATTCACTCCCATGTATTTAAATTTGTGGTTGGCTAAGGTAAATGGTATTACTTTCTTGGTTTCCTTCTCTGAGTTCGTTGTTATTGTAGAGGAATCCCACTGAATTTTGGATATTGGTCTTATATCCTGCCACTCTACTAAATTGTTCTACTAGCTCTAACAGGTTTTTTGGTTGAGTTTTTGGGGTTTTCTGTGCACACTATCTTATCATCTGCATACAGTAACAGTTTAACCATCTATTTGTTGATCAGGATGCCTTTTATTTCCTTCTCTTGTCATATTGCCCAGCAAGTACTTTCAATATAATACTGATAGAAGATGACACTAATTTTTAAGTGCTTAAATATAATTTCCCAACTAGGTTGAAAGTAATTTAAGAGATGCTAGTAAACAGATCTGTTATTTAATAATAAAAATGAGGTATGATGGTCATTTTTTTCCTTCCGTTTAAAAAAAATAACAAAACTAAAGCTAATGGCATTAAAGTGGAAAGGAAATGAAAGGTAAAAAACTCCACTTCTGTGCTTTTGTGCCAAAAGTGCCTCTTGGCACTTATCATCTTTCTCCCTGCAATTAACCTTAACCATTATGCTGCCAACTCAAAGGCAGGAAATTCATATCTCCACCAGCTGCTCTACAGAAGAACAATCTCCTCCCCTGCGCTTTACTGCCTCTGAAAACCCACTGGTGAGCTGTGAGTCAGTTGACTCCACAGCACCTAACATCAACGCTACAGAGTTCTGGTGGCATAGGCCATAGGAACTATACCACTAACCCCAAAGGTTATGCCTCTCTGGTAGTTTGAGTACTATGTCTTCTTGTGATTTATAGCCTTGGAAACCCAATGAAGGGTAATTTATGAGCCAGCTCTCACTTGATGGCAATGATATATGTAGCTCTCTTTCCACGTCCTTATGGTGTCAGTCAGCGTAATCTGCGCTGACATTTAGCCAGGATTCATCAGTTTAGCCCTGATATTTCCAGCTGGCTTCCCCACTGTTTGTGGGGATTGTCAGTTCCCACTGTTTAATATTTTCATTATCTCCAATGTGTAAAGCATCCCATTCTTGTGACTGTAACATATGTTATTGTAGCTGACTGCAGTTGAGTTGATCACGACTCATAGCGACCCTATAAACAAAAGACCTGAAGCCTTTCTATAACTATCTTGGTTTCTTAAAGTTCTTAGATGGAACTCCAGAATTCCCCTAGCATGTTAATCATAAAATTGGTATTATGGAGGCTTTTATGAAAAACCACTGAAGCATCAATTTTTTTTCATTTTACAGTTTCTAAGTGGCTATGCTATACCCATCTGACTAACTCTAATACCTTCTTAACCCATAGTTCCCTGAACTGCGGTTCTACTGTCCTTGAGAGCCACTCAGATGAATCTACTTGATAGCAATGCAGTTCAGTTTAGGTATGAAGTCTCTGGGTGGTCAGAAGTGCTAACATATCTGACTCTTAACAAAAAAGGTTGGAGGTTTGAATCCAACCAAAAGATCCTTAGAAGAAAAGCCTGAAGACCCAACATTAACATCCCCATGGAGTACAGTCTTCTTTGATACATATGGATCACCATGGATTAGAGTTGACTAAACAGTGAAGATTAAACAGGGTTGATTCAATGAGTGGTTTAATCTTGATCTTTTGGCAGTGGCATTTTAAGTGTTCAGCTGGAAAGGTAAGGTCAAAGGAATGTTTCAAAATGCTCCTAGTAACCAGATAACATTAACAGCTCTCCCTTCTACTTCACTACTTTGTACTTATACAAATAAACCTTGTAAACTCTGTGCTCAAATTAGTTCTTAAAAGCACAATGACCTGGTGGTGGCAGCAGGAATTCTCTCATCTTAGTTAATCTTACAACCATAACGATTAAATAGCATTAGAAAAAGAAAATATTCAACACTGATGTTTTATTTTCTGAACTGTATTAATCTTTACAAAACAACACAACAAAAAGAAGCAGTATCAAAACCAGTGGAGTTTACAGAATTTCTGCACCAGTTTTCATAGACGTCAGTGATTATGAAACTGGTTTCCATATGACTACTAAACTGGCTGATATCCCTCTTGGTCGTGTGCACTAGGGGTATCTGTTTTGGAGCTAATCAAGACTAGTTTTTAATAAGCACCAGTCATTTTTTTTGAAAACTGATTTGGCTTGTCCAACAAAGTAAACACTTTCAGCTCTGTGGCATTTTCATCATTTTAAAAAACACTGAGAGAAAATATGGAATGTATATTGGTTTGGATCGGAACCAAATCTTCTGAGTTCCAAATTACCCTGAAGAACACTGACGTGATCTGAAGGGCAAATTAAATACTACTCCTACACCTCAGGATGTACAAGGCAGCTACTGTATTTCTAATGAAAACAACATTTCATTCAGAGTGTGCCCAGAGTTTGGACTCCATCATAGTTTCTGCATCCTCTATCTTGGATTATGGTTTCCACAAATAGGGCCATATTATTAAACAAAAGTTTAAGACAAACAAGCTCTCTGGTAGAGATTAATTCATGTAGAGCAAGTCTCCTTGCTCTGGACCCTGGGTGACCATAAAGAAATGAAGAAGCCTTGATTACTGGATGCTGAAGAAGAAGCATACTTAAACTCAGTCTGGAAGCAAGCAGAAACGAAGCTGGAACTTGGCAGTGGTGCTCACTCACCACTTGTTCTACAACATATTTTGTTTAAATAAGGGAAGTATGGTCCAGTTTTGCAATATAGCTGCCAGTCTCTCTTATCTTCATTAAAAAAAAAATAAATAAAATCATTGCCTGGCTAGCAATGAGATAAAACACTGGCCCCAAATTCTGATCAAACGTCTCAGTATTAGATGAAGAACAAAACCAGACCAAACTCAAACCCAGCCAACAGGTGTTCAAAATTGCACAATTAGACTTGAATGCAAATTAAACTATATACAGTCTGGTATACGTATCACTGAAATGGTTTTGAGAGCATGAAACACTTCTATTGAAAGAAAATTTACCCAATATTATTCCAATTTTCATTAATTAAAGGAAAATGGACATATGTATGCTTCATCTTTATAGATATGAAAAAGGAAGTGAGAAGGCAAAGCTGAGAGACACAGATGCTGCCCAGAGGGCAGCGGTGGCATTTGGTTGTTTTGGTCTTTGTACCAGCGACTCCTACACCCTGGCAGATATCCAGTTCCCGCTGGACTACACAGTTTTCCTTGCAGTCAAGACTCGAACGATGGACCCCACTCCTCCAGCGGCAAGTGCCTAAAAACAAGCCAAAGGGTAAAGACTGAAAGGATCATAAAGGATCAATTCTAAAATTAAACATTCTTTTCCCACGGGGAACGCGCATACTTCCATAATATACTACATTATGAAAGGAGTTCTTAGGGCTGCCAAGCTTATACTAATGGTTAAGTAAGTACTCTAATTCACCTACATAAGAGAAAGAAAAGAGAAAAAACAAAACACAAAACAAAGGGGGAATGTATGCAGCACAGATTTTCAATAAATTTAATAAATATCTCTTGAGCACCTACAATACACTATGACACATTCTTGATGGTGGGGGCCCAGTAAGAGACAAATCTCTCTGCCTTCCTGCACATAGATACCAGTGAGTTTCTAGTTTCCATTTGAGCATACTGTTTCCAAATAACAGTCACAGATTAAAACAAACAAACCAACCCACAAAACACCCTTGCAGTATAATAAAGCAAACAAGACTCAACTCAAGTTGCCATCAATTCTGATTCACAGCAACAGCATATATTGGCCAGAGCTGAACTGTGCTTCCCAAGGATTTTCTTTTTCAAAATGTGATTTGAATGAACTTTACAAAGCAAGTTGGTTTTCATATACATTTGCTTTACAACACTGATTACAGTACCTTAAATACAAATGCCTTTCCTACAGCTGTTTCCTACTTCCTCCCAGTAATTCTCATTTTCATTAACATCTGCTATTGACTGTGCTTCTTATGTACCTCTCTGGGTCTTCCCTTTCTTTAGTGGTAATGTGCTTCAGAGGATTTTCAATGGCTGTTATCTGGTAATAAGACTGCTAGACTTTTTTTTCCCCTTTCATAGAGCTTCTGTGTTAACCAGAACTGCCAGCCTTTGGGTTAGTAGCTGAGCATGCAAACTTTCACATCACTCAGGGACTCCTGTAGCATAATGATCTTGCCTGAAACAAGTCCTCAAATTTAAATTTAGGTCCCTATAGATAACACATAGTTTAAAAATTATTGCTGGCAAAGCAGCAGGGAAATTTATTTGTAAGAGCATATAAAAATCCTCCAGACAAATTTTTATAACATTAATTACAATACCTACAATACAATTTCCCTTTATAATTCTAAATTCCATTGTCTAGCCTATTCCCATTTTTTTTTTAAAAAGATGATCCAACAGAGTGTGGAAATTATTGAACAATATCACTAGTATCACATGCAAGTAAAATCCTGCTGAATAGTATCCAAAAACAACTGGATCATTACCTCGACAGTGAACTACCAGAAGTGCAAACTGGGGATAGCATAGCCAGTATCAGATGGATCTTAGCTGGGAGCAGAGAGTTTCAGAAAAAATGTGCGTCATCTGACAGTGTCAATCACAACAAATTGTGATTAACATTAAGACTGGGAATCCCAGACCATTTGATTATGTTCATGAGAAACCTCTTTGGCCAGGAAGTAGTCATTAGAACAGAGCAAGGAAATGCTGTATGGTTCAAAATCAGGAAAAGACTGTCAGGGATGAATCCTTTCTCTATACCTTTTCAATCTATATGTGGAACAGATCATTCAAGAGGCTGGACTTTATGAGGAAGAATGTAGCATGAAGACTGAAGGAAGACTCATCAAAACAATCAATCTGTGATAAGCAGATGACACAACCTTGTTTGCTGAAAATTAGACGAGGACCTGAAGTGTTTGCTGCAGAAGATTATAGACTGCAATCTTCAACACAGAATGAAGCTCAATATCAAGAAAACAAGGATTCTCACCACTGGGCCAAATGAGCACCATGATGGATGAAAAAGAGATTGAGACTGTTAACAATTTCAGCTCACTCAGTTCCACAATCAACATTCGTGGCACCAGCAGTCAGGAAATCAAAAGATGAATTGCATTAGGAAAATGTGCTATCAGGGACCTCTCCAGAGTGCTAATGAGCAACAATGTCAGTCTAGAGAATAAGGTGTACCTGCTCCAGGTCATCATGGTCTTAATAATTACATGCTATTCATAGAGAGCTGGACAAGGACTAAGGATGACAAGATTTGGTATCTTTGAGCTGTGGTGCTAGAGCAGAGTACTGAACATTCCATGGACTGCTAAGAGAACAAACTGGTTTGTCCTGGAGAGGGTGAAACCAAGTCGCTCCTTGGATGCAAGGATTTTGAAGCACTGCCCAACATACCTTGGGCATGTGGCCAAGAGGGACTAGTCCTTGGAAAAGGACATCACGCTTGGGAAGATAGAGGAATAGCACAAGAGAAGAGGATCCTGTATGCGATGGATTGATACAGTAACTAGGGCAACAGGGGCTAGGTGTGTTGGAGACACAAGATAGGGCAGAATTCAGATATTTTTTTTGTATAGAGTCACTATACTTGATGGCACATAACAACAACAACCCTTGCCTGAATCCAGATCTTTATCTTTGGGCTAATTCTACTTTTTTGATCTTAAACGGTTGCTAATTTAAGGAATAAATGTCTCTGTCTCTCTGTACTACTGGTCACCTCTTAGATTTGTTTATAATTTGGGTGAAAACTGAGCCAAGTGGTGGGTGGAGGGGAGGGAGTTTTGTTCCAGGTATGAATGTCTAAGGACCACTGTGTCTCAGGGTTCCACCAGTCTCTGGTGGTCTGGACTAGTTCATTAGATTAGTAAACCTGAGCTTTATCATGTTTTATAGTTTGTTTCAAATACCTGCCCTCTCTATCCTGAGTGCTCAACTATGATTCCTTTTAGAATGGTCCCCGACAGTCCCCCAGCACCTACTAGTTCTTCTAGTGTCAAGGTCTGACTTTATCGTAATAAGTGGAAGTCATAAATGAATAGTAGGAATCTGAAGCTCTGATGTTCTTCTTTTAAGAAACACTATCTTCATGGATTGGGTGTTGTGCAGATGCTAGGGTGACAAAATTTGACAAATACAGCATCTGCTGTTCTATTGGGAGGAAACAAATAAATGGATAATTCTAGTATGAAATGATACAGTTAGAGTGATAAATAGCAATGACTGTGCTGAGAAGGGTCACGCAATCAGTCTGAAGAATGATCAGGAAAATCAGGCTTGTCTCAGGGACCTGGACTTTATTCTGAGGTGAGTGACACAAACAGATTGGATGAGAGAGTTCTTTCTGATGGCTAGGTGGAGAACAGATTTGAGAGAGGCAGTACTGGCAACTGGGAGACCAGTTAGGAAGCTAAAGTAAGAGACCAGGAGAGATGCTGTGTGTAGTTACATTAGAGATGGACCTAAGAAGTCTCTAAAAGGTAAGACTGGAAACAATGATAACCAGTGATGTTAAGAACAAGAGAAGGCACAATGCTTCAGTTACCTCATCTACAAAAGAAGTATAACAGAAAATTTTCTCCTCCTAACGGAACTTCTTTTTTACATGAGAATTTTAATTCTTTATTTTGAAATAATTTCAACAATTCAGAAAAGATGCAAAGTAGTACATGGAGCTAGGGAATGCCCTCATCAGCTCCTTCTAATATTATCATCTTAAATAGCTATACACAGCTAACAAACCTAGCAAATAGGATTGGTATGATCATATTACTTAAAATCCTTATTTAAATTTCTAAATTTTATTCTGTACTTTCCCACTCATGTCCTTTTTCTGTCCCAGAACCCAATCCAGGATTCCACAATGCATTTAGTCATCATGTCTCCTTAGCCTCCTCCAATCTGTGATACTTCCACATCTTTTTCTTTTTTAGTAATTTTTTTGGTGGTGGTGTAGCCTGTTAGTATAAGGATTAAATGAGCTAATACTTAGAAATACTTGGAAGAGTGCCTGGGACAGAAATGCTCGATAAACACTAGTTATAGGATCTGCAGCTATATATTTGGATTTTAAAGCTAGTCCTTTACCTATAAACTTCGGATGATTCAAAATAATGTTTATTCTCTAAATTGTAGGGTTGCTTTAAGGATTAAAGGAAATGCAATCTGGCAAGCAGAAAATGTCCGTAAATAGCACAGCCATATACATTTCTGTACAAATTAAGACCTTTTAGAGTAAAAGAGGAAATTACTCAAAATTACATATGGCCAACGGGTATAAACTGGGACTGTCATGTTAAGAGTTAATCTTTCAATATGACTTTCCCAGCCATTGCCTGATTTGAACATGTGGATGGATGGAAATATGTGAATAGCATGTGTCAGTCTATCCACAAGGGAACTGGCTAGTCTCACCATTAAACTGAGTGGACTCAGTAGCAGGAGACAACCTTTCCTGCCAGTAAAGATGTAGCAAGAGAAATGTCACATAATCTTTGGGCCCAGAAACTTTTGCTCCAGCTACACTTACAGTAGCAGCAGTCATAGCCAAACCAGAGAACCAACATGAGATGGAGATACTCTAGGACAGCTACCCTCTATGGACAGAACCAGAATACTAGCAGGACTGAGAACCTTGTACCACTGGCCTAAAGCAGTGAGGCTCAAGGACAAAGTGCCTCCGAGTACATTTCAGAAGCTGTCCTGACTGAGTTCTGCTATCAACTACTTGGATTATGGGAGTGTGGGAGATATGTCTGACCTCACGAAAAATGGTTTTATGTTGTTGATGCTGTTGACGGGGACAGTTCCACTTTGTGAAGCTGGTAAAGGTCAGATGGCCATCCCCATGTGGCCCTTGCTCTTTTTACACTTGGGAAGCTGGGAGATATGATTACCCTGTGCCTAAATGTTATCTCTTTTTATCTGATAGTTTGTGAAATAAAATGACTTGACCAAGATGAAAGAGCAATTTTTTGTTTTCCCTATTTTTACCTTGTTTGTGTGTGTGTTTTAAATCCAAGACACTTAAGACAAACATTTAACAGCTTCTGAAAAAACTGAAGTTTGTGAATTGCTACAATATATAGAATACACCATATTAACTATGGTTGGCTCTATTAAAATGCTATCTTGTTTATATTTAGAACAGTATATTAAAAAGGTAGGTACTTATGACTATTTTATCAACTTTATACTTAAAGCTAAACATTCCTCCTACCCTTTCCCTCCCTTCCAAAAAAGGATGCTGAACCAGCATCTGTTATATAGCAAAATATCATACATAAAGACAGAAAAAATAGGGGGGAAGGAATTCTTCATTTCTTTTGTAAATTTTTAGCCCAAAGTTAATTATATTTAATGAATAACAATTACTACTTCATAAGTACTGAACATTAGAGTTAAATGGTTATTTGAAAGATGCTGTCATCATTATTCTCTATTATAAAGGAGGTAGTCATATAGATCTATAATTTATAACTTACTTTTTCATGCCATTGCAGTAACACAGCACTGCTGTTGTCAGAAGGGTTCTCAAAGCCTTTGTAAATATACTTCATTAGGAGATCAACACCGTTCTTATCCAGGGATTGAACTGCCTTTTCAATATCATTGGCTTTAAAAGAGATGAGCACTTTCAATACAATGCTTCCTGCTCGATCCTGAGGGTAAACAAGTAACAGAACTTTTAGATATGTGTAGTTTGAATTACAGAAAGGCACAGCCTTCAAAAGGTGATTTCTGAGTAAAGACATAAACATGGAGGCCTCAGGGATATCTGAAGAAAGGATGCTTGTGACAGGAGAAAGTGCTGTATCTAGTGTACCCAAGAAATAGCTAAGAGACCCAATGTGGCTGAAGTAGAGTGGCAGGAGAGGAAGCCAGAGAGGTTATGGGAGGCTAGATCATATAGGGTCAGTAAGAATTACAGCTTTTATTCTGACAAAAATGAGATCCTGGGAGAATTTGAGAAGAACAGTGACATAATCTGATTTACATTGTAGGAGGATCATGTGGTTCCTACACTGAGAATAAACTGGGGTTGGGGAGGAAAAAAGCAGGCAGACCACTTAAGAAGTCATTGCAATAATAAAGCCAACAGATGAAAGTGGACTGGCCAGCAGGGTAGCAGTGGCAGTGGTAAACTGTGTTGGTGCTGTTAGGTACTGTTGAGTCAGAACTGACCCACAGCTGACTTTCCAGTGGGTTTTCAGAGGTATTAAAATACAGGGAGGAGATTGTTCATCTCGCTCAGAGCAGCTGGTGGATTCAAACTGTGTGCCTTTGGGTTGGCAGCTCAACTCTTTACCATTAAGCTGCTAGAACTCCCTGGTGGTGGTGGTAAGAAGCCTTCATATCCTTGACATAATTGAAGGCTCAAGCATATAGGATTTGCTAAGAGACTAGACTGTGACCGTTTACTGTATCAGTTTCAATTTTACCTCTTGATCTTAATCCAAAAATTCCAGGAAACAAAAAATAAATTTCCAACTGAAATAAAATCTTGAATAATCATTTAAATTTTTTTTAAACTATTATCTGACTAGATCAGGCAAAGATGATAAAGCTTCCTCTCAAATACTTTTGGCAAATTGTTAGGGAGGCTATTCCTTGGAAAGAAGTGTCTAGTATACTTGCATAATAGGATTTTGAGGAAGATCCTCAAAAAGGTGGATTGACATAGTGACTGAAGCAATGGACTCAAGTATGTCAGAAATTATGAGGATGGCACAGGGTATGTCAGGATTCAGATATGTTGCTTATAGAGTTGCATTCGACTCAGTGGCACCTAACAAAAACTGTATTTGCTTACAGATGACACATATGATCTTTCTGCTGCTTGTGTCAGGTTTCTGAAGCCTTGGTGGGATAGTACCTAGCATGCTGCACTGCTAATCAAAATGCCAGTGGTTGAATCCAGCAGCTACTCCTTCGAAGAAAGATGGGAAGTCTCTTCCCATAAAGATTATAACCTCAGAAACCAATGGAAGATTGCTATAAATCCAAATCGACTTGATAGCATTAGGTTTGATTTTTTTCCTTTGACAAAAGGCTGCCCCTAAATCAGTTATTTTCTTACCTATCAAGCTGAGTGTGTACTGTCAGTTCAGATCTGACTGGTACAGGAGGAGATTGTCCCGCCTTCTGCAGCAGAGCATTTGGTGGTTTGTCTCTCTGGAGACTAAGGTGCATCTGATACAGGCCATGGTCTTTGCTATCACTTGTTATGCATCAGAGAGTTAGACAGTGACTAAGGAGAACAGAAGAAGAATTGATGCCTTTGAGCTGTGGTGCTGGAGAAGAGTATTGAGGGTACCATGGACTGCTAGGAAAACAAACAGATTCCTACTGGAGAGGGTTAAACCAGGCTACTCCTTGAAGGCAAGGATTCTGAGGCTCCGTCTGACATACTTTGGACATGTTGTAAGGAGGGACGGGTCCTTGGAGAGGGACATCATGTTTGGGAGGGTGGAGGGACAGTGTAGGAGGAGAAGACCCTCTATGAGATGGATTGATTCAGTGACTAGGGTAATCGGGATGGGTGTGTCGGAGACAGTGCGATTGGCACAGGATAGAGCAGAGTTTAGGGCTGTTGTACATAGGGTCGCTATGAGTCGCAAGTCGACTTGATGGCACATAACAACAACAACACCCAGCTGAGCAAATGGAACACAATTTATTCTTCCTACAACTTGTTTCTCCTAGTCAGGACAAAGTGTTGCCTTCAGCATTTCTGCTAGGCAGGATTTTACAAAATGTTTCTACCACCTTCTGTTATCTTGTGTTTAGAGAACATGCAATTACTCCATTTGGAAAAATCTCTTTGCCTCCAGAGCTATAACCTCTTACTCACAAGCTGTGATAAAATGCACCCATATAAAAGTGGACTGACACTTCAATGGACCAAAGACAATGTGTCCTGTTGCCTAGATAATTACTATGTACTTACCCAAGTTATTATTTACTACCCTCCAATTAAGGAGATTCTTGTTTCTCCTAGGATGCATGAATACCCAGTGACAACAGGGTCCATGCAGTGGGTGTCATTTTAAACAATAATAAAGAAAGAAATCCCACAAACTAGTGAAAGGTTACTGACTGGAATGGCAACTGCACAACTTCTTTGAAAGGCAATTTAGCTATACCATGACAAAAATAAAAAGTGCATTCTTTAATCCAAAGAAATCAAGAATTTAAAAAAATTGTTTCAGTAAAGTACAGGGGGAAAATGATCAATAACATAACTGTATGAGCAAAGGAGATGACATAAAACATATAGCATATCAATAAGTAACTTAAAAATTATTATTTAAAATTCCTAATCACCAAGACATTCACACACACTGCTTTACAGTTTAAAAGTAAATAATGTCACTTAAAACAATTTTTTTTAAAAAAAATACAAAAAAATCTATACTCATTAAAAACAAAAGAAAATCCACGGCTGTCAAGTTGCTTCCAACTCATGATGAACATCCATCAGGTGTCTGAGTCTATTAATCTTTGTGAGAGGAAATTGCCTGTTGTTCCCAAGGCTCCTTATAATCATGTAACCCACTGCTACTAAATCAGAACTCGTATTTGACCCTTTACTGAGTTTGTGACATGGTGAATTCCACTGGTAAGGGGCATGGGAAGAGACTGCCCATCTTGCTCCCACAGAGATACTGGAGGATTCGAACTACCAGACAGGTATGGTCACTGGGTTAGCAGGGCAACCACCAGAGATGGCACACATTACCAGAGCTCCTTTATATTCAAAGAGCTGCACAAAAGTAACAACTGCTCAATTTGCTGGGATCATAGATCATAATCCCCACGCAGCTTTTTGTCTTCTATCATATTTCGTTTCAGTTTACATTTAAAAAGATCATTTAAAAGCAAGCAAATAAGAGTCTTGTTTTGCTTAGACTTGAAGTACTCATTTAAATTCAATCTGCATGGCCTCATCTAGAGATACCCATTATTGTTGTGTACCATAGTTGGTATAGATAATCCTCTGGTGGGCTTTCACAGGCAGTTAACTGCACAGGAGGACACTGCCCATCCATGTCCCACAGAGCAGCTGGTGGCCTCGAACCACGTGCCTTCTGCAATGCAGCTTCTTGTCACTAGGCCACCAGAGCTCCCCAAAATGCCCATAGGACTGCTTTTTTCCTGTCATATGATTTTTTAAACTTTCTCCTCTGTCTACTATGCAGTATTACCATAAGCCTAGAAGAGAACTTCAACTCCAAGACAGTTGGCCCTCCATGAACCTCTGTGGGAACCCTGGAGAGTCAAATGCTGGACAGCTAAACAAGAAGTCTGTGGTTTAAGAACCCCAGTTTTTGTGTGGATAGATGATTTATAGATTCAGAACCCTTATAGGACAGCTCTACTCTATCCTACAGGGTCTTGATGAGCTGGAACAGCAGTAGATATGACTGCTATTTTTCTTGTAAATATTAACTCATCTAAGGGAGTTCCAGTGGTACAATCTGTAGGGAGTTTTGTTGCTAACCCAAAAGGCATTTAGAATCTCTGGTAGTTCAAATGCACCAGCAGTTCCATGTCAGAGAAAGACGGGCAATGTCCTCCCCTCCTGTGTAATATACTATTTCAGAAACCCAATAGTGGGTCAGCTATGAGTCGGTTCTGACTTGATGGCAATGAACTGAGATCTAAAGTTCTTTTATGTAAAAGACAGTAAATAGTTAAAATGTTATCGACTCTGTGAAATGGCAGAGGATTTTGGTATGAGGGAAGCCACCATAACAATCACTCAGTGACTTACCTTTACCGCCTGACTCTTGGTGTTGATAGGGGGGTTTTTCAGAGCTGCTTGAAGAGCAGCTGCCATGTTCCCTGTGAAGGAAGTTAAGGATATAATAGCGAAAAGCAGCCCTCAGGCATCTCAGTGTTACAGCCTTCAGGAATCACTGCTTTTTGGAATTTAGTTTTATACACAAAGAGAAAAAATTACTATGGCCACATTGTTGGGATGTGTCTACTTTAAGATGACGATCAAAGATAAAATGTCAAAAATGAAAGAAAACATTATGGTGTTTTTACTTTTCTAATAAAGCAAAGATCATTTTACCTTTTTAACAGGGAGTCAGCGCAGTGGTTAAGTGCTGGGCTGCTAACCTGGGTGGCTGAAACCTCCAGGGCAGCCTCTGAGGGAGAAAGTTGGCGGTTTGCTTGCCTAATGACCAATTCATTGTCACTGAGGCGATTCTGAGTTATACAGCCTTGGAAACCTTTTGGGGCAATTCTACTTTGTTCCACAGGGTTCAATATGAGTTGGAATGAACACAACAGCAATGAATGTTTCCGGGGTGTGTGTGTGTTTCTGGCTCTTAACTTATCAAATGAACATCAAGATAATCTTTTATTTTCCAGTGAAACATATATGCAAGCAATTAATCCAAAATGATACTAAAAAAAAATCTACAATACATACTATTGTGTACTCTTGAGTTGAAACCAACCCATAGCTGACCCTTCAGTGGGTTTCCAGAGGCAGTAAATAGCATGGGAGGAGACTGTGCATTTTTCTCCCAGTGAACAACTGGTGGATTTGAAGTGTATGCCTTTAGGTTGGCAATACAGCTCCTTACCACTAGACCCCCAAAGCTCCCTAAAATACATACCAGAATTAGTAAAATCCCAAATGGAAACCACCCATTATTAACTAAAATCTTTTATGTGATTCTAACTGAAGGACGGAGACTAAACTTTTACTAGAATTATATTCTGTATTCATTTAAATGCTAATAGAAAATACCAGGAGATCACCTAGCAGTCCGAATACTATACGTTAGTAATTTCTGAATATTGATAGATCATATTATAGAATATATATTAATTCACATGAGCCTAGATGGTGGCTTAAATGTTTTGGTTATTTTTTTAATACTTCATAAAGATTATTCAGATTGTCTTTGACCATACCTATTAAATTCAGTCTCTCTTTGAAACCATCAGTGAGTAAGCAGATATGAGAAATGCAAGGCCAATCAGACTGTCAGAATGTACAGTCATTTCCGTAAAAGGAAACCATACAGAGTTCACTTATTTCCTCTATCTCTAGTGCCTGACTCCCTCTACCAAAGCAGGACTATCTCTCTTGTATCCCTCGGGGTGGGGAGGGAAGAGCCAATACCTGTGTTTTAAAATGAACTAATTCAAATGAAGACCTTACGGATACATCAGTACCTTTTAAGGTACTGATGTAACCATACATCTCAAATATACTAGGCTCACAAAACAGCTATGTATCACAAAGAATGTTTTGAAAAGACATTTATCTTAAGAAAAGGCTCTGACAAAATCCTCAGTTGCTGTCAGTGCATTTTTAAGGCAACTTCTAAAAAGCATGTCTCTTACAGGTTCATTTTTTAAGATGCAAAACCCTTTGACAAATATTTATATAAAGTCAAACACAAACAGCTGCCTTGCAAGAATTGCAGAAATCAAAGGGACATCTGTAGGTTGATAAATGTTTAATGCTGTATTTAGGCACCTTTAAGACTGGATATAGTTGCTACCAAATATTTTAACTATTTTCTCCATTGTAATTTAATAGGACATTGAGGTGGAGAGTATAAATCTTTATTTTACGCACATACTAAAGAATGGTTAGAAAAACATAATGTTCTATCACTGAGAATCTCTAAAACCACAGCTTTTGGTTACTGCAACAGCTCTATTTGTTCCAAAAAAGATCTGATGCGAATGTGAATAACAAGTTATGAATATTCAAATATGCAAAAATCAAACCCAGGAACTAACAGCTACATTTTACCTAACAGGGAAACAATTTGAGGATTACAGAAGCAATTTCGCTTTAACAGAGTGACTTATAATCTATTTTATTCAATGAGTTTATCTGAAATATTTCCAAGGCTTCTGCACTTGACTTGTATTCCCGTTTTCTTCGTACGGTCTTTTTCTTACAGGTAAAGGGCTCTAAGCTTCCTTTTCGCGCTTTATGGTACTCACTTCCTTCCCTGATTAACAAATTCTGTGCAACCTTTAGTGTTTCAAATTCTTTCATATATATATACATATACATATATATATATAAAAAAACCCCACCCCATATAACCCTCCGGGCTGAAATGACACAGGGCTTCAATTCTAGGAACCGCTCCAAGCTTTTTAGCAAGTAATAAATTAGACTAATGCAACCAGAAAGAAACAGTAGCAAACCACTAACACCTCTTCTAATCAAAAGCACTAAGGAGACTCCCGAAATCCCAGGTTTCTGGCTACGAGGGCCCCAATAAACACGGGTGTGGGGAGGACCGCTCACCTCCCCGCAGCCTGACAAGCACCAGCCGCCTCCCCAGCGCCGCGAGGGCGCGGCCGCGCCGGTTCCGGGCTCAGGCGCGGGGAGCGCAACCTGAGGAATCTGGGGGCGTGGGAAGCGCGGCGCGGAGGGCAAGTGGCCCAGGATGGGACCCTGCGGTCTCGAGGCCGCTAGGTCAGCAAGGGGAGAACCTCTCCCTCTCAGAATGGGGACCCCAATCAGGTTCACGCGAGCGGCGGCGCGTGGTGCTCACACCCTGCGGGGCGGCGGGGTTAAGGGCCGGCGAGAACAAGGATATTGTCGCAGGCAGGAGTCCACTTCGCCCTCGTCGGGCCCAGCCTGGCCGTCACCCCCATCTTCCTCGTCCACGAACTTGTTCTCGTCGTACTCATCCACGTCCACCTTCCGGAACCGGGCCGACGACACCGTGTTCTTCGACATCCCGATCCCAGTGGCTCAGACCTCCTCTCAGCGATACCTCTACAGCCCCAGCCCAGTAGCAATCTGCAGACTTGCGCCTCCACTTCCCTCTTCCGCTCTGGGGCGTCGCCGGCAGCGGCGGCACGGGCTGTTCTGAGCCTGCGCGCTGGCGCCGCTTCTTCCTCCTCAGGTTCACGCTCTTCTCAAGCCTCCTACGCCGCCCCCGCCCTCCCGGGGAGTGCCGGAGGGAGCGCGCGGGACCCAGCGCGCAGGCGCGGACTCGCTGCAGGAAAGGGGCGGGGCCGGGAGCAGCAGACGGGGGCGGGATAGGAGGGAGGGCAGAAAAGCAGTACCGCGGGCACAGGGGAGAGGCGATTGGGCTCCAGAGTGCGTCACGTGATCCCTAGGGGTTCCCATAGAAACGCTTCTCTGCGGTCCATCCTAAGGGGGCTCCTAGGTGGGCTGCAATGGGCACCGGGGGCGGGTGGCTTTGGCTTTTGCTACCGCAGCCGCCAAGCAGTCATTGGAGTCCTGCATAAGGTCTTGGTTGTCCCAGGCTTGTCTGTAGGGTGGGATGGACTGGTTGTCAAACCCAGTCCCCTGCAGTTGGCTGGAGTATGGGGAGGAGTGGTGCACGCCCGGGTGCCCAGCATTGTGCTAGCTGTCCACAAGACGCTTCAGAACGCGCCTTCTCCGGGACTGCGTTCTCGGGCTGGGAGCCCCTACAGCCACGCTGCACGGCCAGTGAGAGGTCCCCAAGGACGGAGTCGAAAGGTCATATCTTAATCTCTCAGTGCTGGTGACAGCGTCGTGACGGGACCTGCAGGACCTGAACTCGGTATCATATCTTTTGGTGGTGTAGGGTGAGGGAGAGGTGTCTGGGCAAGGCTGTACAGTCAGGTGGCAAAAACTGGGGTGACAAGATGTAGAATCTGTCAACACTGACACCTCAGAATAAGTGGTTGGAGGAAGGATGCAAGAGAAAAGTGGGACGAGTTAGGCTCTGGTGCGGAAGTGTGTGTGCATTAGTAGAAACCAAATCTTGAAGGTTTCTCATTTTGTAGACCCTTTTAGGCTAGTTTTAAAATGATGTTTGACATCCCCATTTCCGAGAACAGAACTCTTTTTGAGGAAGTAAAGGCGCTAAGGACGTGGTAGTTGTACTGTTTGTATAAATCAGACTGAAATACAAATGAATTAAAGCTCCAGATATTTGCAGAATACGATTATTTGGGCATTGCTGAAGTGGATTTATATTTTCATGACATCTTATCGGTCCAGTTTAGTTCCTCCTCTAGAAGGCAAGCTGTTGCCCCTTTGAGTACTGTCAACTGTTCCTTTCCTCTAATGTATTGAAGCGTCCTGGGCTTACAATGAGAAGACTTGGGCTCCAGACTCAGTTCTTAGGCTTGGTTTGATTGAGGCATACCACTTAAAATTCTGAATCTCAGTTGCTTTGTCGCTGAAATGGGGATAATAATGTATACTTCACCAGCCTATTCTGAGGTTTATAAAAACAGCAAACCGTTTTGAAGCTCTAAAATTGTTCATGCATGTAAAATTACATAAATGCAAAATGCCTATTACCTATACCATTGGCTTTAGCATTAGCATTAGTGTTATAGCAAATTCAATGATGTATCGTGTTTTATGTTGCTCCTGGGAGGTAGCACAATATTCTGAGAGCTGTCTTCTTAGTTTATTTGTACCTCTTTTTACACGAAGAACATAGTGAATAAATGCTTAATTAATGAATGAGAGAAGTGTGAAAGGCCATGTAAGTTGAGGGTCATACTGAGAAGAATGAATCAGAGAAGAAAGATCTCAAATCAAACCTTTATGCTATATATAGATAGATATAGATTTGAGATAGAGGGGAGGGACAAGAGTGGGAAGGCAGTTGGAGGGGAGAAAGGAAGAGAGCTAGAGGGAGAGATAGACACTCCTCCAGAAAGAAAGGCGTTCTTTTTTCCTTGGGAGAAAGAATCTTAGTAATTTGGTTCCTCTCTCCCTTTTCCAAATTAAATCAGTCTTCTAGAAGGTATATAATTTAGATTGTTAAGTGACATTTCCTTAAATTGACATGCAAGTTACAAACTCCCCTAGGATTCTCTTAAGACAGGTAAAGGGAGGGAAAGAAGGAAAATTTTCTACCTGTTGTTAATATTTATTGTAAAATGTCATATACCCGAGTATAAGGTTGTTACCATGTTGAATGACATTATATAATTTATAATAAAATTATGTGAGTGTTTCTGTTTCAACATTTTTCTAACTTTAGTACAAGCATATCAGTATTCTTTAGATGCTAGAGATCGTCCTTTTTGTTCTTTTCATAAAACATTTTTGAAAATAAAATTGAACATTAAAATTACTATTGAACAAATGAGAACAAAGATTCCAGAGCTAATTAATTTATCTTCTTAAATTTCTGTTCTTTTGTAATCCTTATACAGGAAATATGTATATATATTTTTTCTCTTATTTTAAAACTAGGAAAGATTCTCTGGATGGAAATACAAGAGTATAGGAAGAAGAATGTTAAAAATAATTTATGGTCAATGGAGTAATTGTTTCAATTGCTCAGAATTTTACACTATATTCAATTTGTTAAATATAATTAATGTTTAGCCTCAAAATGGATACTACATTTCAAATGTCAAAAAATATTTTTTTCCAATGCAGTATTATTATTATAGTCTCACGATGAGCTAAGTAATTAGTATATTAGCTACTTGGTGAATATATATTGAATAAATTTATTATTTGACTAATTTTGGAATAATATTTAGACTATTTCAAATGAATGTATTAATATTTCTTTCCTATGCCCACTAGAGCATAGCTTAATATTTAAAGAGTAAAATATTATAAAGCTTTACCAAAATCCCCGCAAAAAAACCAAGCCCACTCCGTCCAGTCAGTTCTGACTCAGAGCTACCCTACAGGATCCCTGGTAGAGCAGTGGATTAAGTATTGGAAAGCTCACTGAAAGGCTGATGATTTTAATCCATCAGCTGGTTCTTGGAAGAAAGACGAGGCAGTTTACTTTCATGAAGATTTACAGCCTTGAAACCCGATGAGGCAGTTCTACTCTTTCTTAGAGGTTTGCTAGGAATCACATGAGTATGAAGATTTTGGGAATTTTGAAGAGTAAAGAAACTCGTTCTCAATAGTCTTGTAATAATGAAAGAAAAAAAAAAAACACAACCCAACAAACTCACTTGCTTCATGTTGACCATCATAGTTAATTTATTTCAAGTAGCAGTGTTCTTCTGATTTTAATAGCTTAAATGGTTACATACTCCTGAAATAAAAGATTCTTAATTGTTTAGGCTCTGATTTATTGTGCAAAATATCCCGGTTTATTCCAATATCAGCAAAATTGAATCTGCATTTATTTAAGGTTAATGCTCCATGAGAGTATGTAACTCCTTTTCCATTGTCTGTCATGCAGGTAGCCAAGGATCTTTTTAGTCAAGGGGGAATTTTTAATCATAAAGGTCTTCCCCCAACCCAGATTATTTTTAAAGCAAATATTCTTCCACTATGTGCTGCTTCTCTCCCCTCCCCAAATTGCTACTACATACTTGAAAAACAAAGACATTTGATTCTGCTGGCATGACACTATTATTTTTGAACACAAATTGCCTTCACATTGGAACTGACTTATAGATGACCCTCCAGTGGGTTTTCAAGACTGAAAATCATGTAGGGGAAGATTCCTATCTTACCCCCCCTAGAGTTGCTGGTGGGCTTGAACATCTGAAGAGGCACAAGCTGTGAATTAGGAGCTCAAGTCCCTTTGAACTCTAACACAGGAGCTCCCATTTTAGAGTAAATAGATTAATATATTGTTCAATAGGACATTTATTTAGAGAGTGACATCTCTGAGATTATAAAAAATAGAAATTTCTTTTCTTGGGATAAGTGTTTAATGGTGAATGAAGGAATATACATTATTTTTTACACATTTCTGTGTATAAACACTCTTTCCATTTAATTTTATAATGGTATAGTTAAAATGTTTCAATATAGTAGTTTTATTAATGACATCCAGAAATGAGGATGGAGATCAAATGATAGGATTTTACTTGTTAACTTAAGATACCTTCTTGAAAAACATAAACAGCAAGTACATACGTGGACCTGACATATGAAGTATTCCGTTATCAGGGTCACTGAATTTGGGGAAATAATAGATGGAAAGCTCAATTTTAGCAGTTAAAATAAGACCAAAGGGCTGTGAACAGACCATCAATTACTTGTATGCAAGTTCAAGTTGAAGGTGAAGAATGTATCATCAAATGTATTAAAACTGTATCAGGAATGAATTAGAAACATTGAACACCAGTGACCAGAGACCACACAAGTTGTGGGATGATAAAAAGAGTCTCATTATGAAGAAAGCAAAAAAAGGTTATTACAAAGAGAAGAAGAAAAAGACTAACATGGATGTCAGAATAGACTCCAAAAATTGCATTTGAACATAAATAAGCCAAACCAAAGGGAAAAACCGCTGAAGTAAAGAGATAGATAAAAGATTTCAAAGGACAGATGAATTAAAAGATATGAATAAAATATTTCAAAAGATTAAACAAAGTACTTTTAATTAAAGGTGCAAAGAGCAGGAGTTAGAAATCAAAAGGGAAGAACACACTTGATATTTCTCAAGCTGAAAGAACTGAGGAACAAATTCAAACCTCAAGTTGCAATACTGAAGGATTCTCTGGGAAAACTATTGGATGGTGTAGGAAGAATCAAAAGAATTTGGAAGGAATAACAAAATTAGTGGACACTGAATCATTTCAGGAAGCAGTATATGATCAAGAATCAATGTTAATTGAAGTAAGAAGTTCAAGTTGCACTGAAGGCATTGTCAAAATAAGGTTCCAGAAATTGATGGATTACCAATTGAGGTAACAATTGATTACTCAATTGATTACCAATTGAGGCAATAACAGATACAGTCCTGGCCAATTGACTGAAAGAGATCCATATGTGTTTCCATTTTAAGAAAA